TAGTTTGTCTCTTGCGTTACCTGAATTTCCCTCCACTTCTCAGTGGCTGGCAGATTCCATTATGCATATTATTATCCCAAGCTACGGTCTTCAGAATTCTTAAGAGCCTTGTCTCTGCTATGTTTAATATATATAACCAAATAAATTCGAAATAAACTTTGTGTAAATTGGCTAGGGTCAAATATTATACACCTTTAATATTTACTAGCACATATCCAAATATTTGGGGGGGGGATTGAGGTTGCCTCAAATATTTTTAGAAGAGTCTTGAATGTTAAGCCGTCTCCTATCAACATGTCTTGTTGCGTCAGGATGCAGTTAGAACATGGGGTGGCAGACTGATACAAATCTCAGTTGATGCACCTTTCTTCTTTCCCTGTGTTTTGAGAGCTACATGTAATACGTATGTATCTGTCCCTGAATACAGATATGTATATTGCAAATACATCAGGGCATGTGTATGCATTGAAATGAAGCATAGGGATTAAGAGTTTTGAAGCTAGATAACTTTGGTTTGAGTCTGGGCTCCATCACCTGCTAATGGTATAATCTTGGACAAGTTGTATAGCCTCTCTGTGCCTCAGTTTCCTTGTGTGTAAAACATAATAAAATTATGTAGCTTGTGGGACAGTTGTGAGAATTAAATGAGTTCATACAAATAAAGCACTTAGAACAATGCCTGTTAAAGTTACAGGGATTCAAAAACTTTAGTAACTGTTACTATTATATATATAGCATTAATATATACAGGGTGAGGCAAAAGTAGGTTTGCAATAATGTAATTAATTACATAAAATAATGTAATTAATAAGTAATAATGGAAGAATAAACTGTTTTTCATAGTCACAAATATAAACCTACTTTTGCTCCATACTGTACATGTGCATATATATTATATCATTGCTTAGCCTACAAAATAAGACAATTTCATACATATTGCTAAATAGCTTTTATGCTTTATGTGTAGCATGTATGAATGCTCCATGTACAGCACATGTAAAATGTCTTGGCACTTTCAGTTATCGAATGAGCACTGTGAGTGAAAATACCCACATAGCTCGTGACTAAACTGGATGGAGCATAAATTCAGTATTTTTAATCTACCCACTTAAAAATAATATTTGTCACTGGGTAGTGGACCCAACATATAGTGTAAGCGGCATCAAGATGAAGGAAAAAAGCAGAGGCTTACAGCCAGGGCCATCTGGATTCCTGTCCGGACACTGCTACTTCGTGTGCTGTGTGACTGCTAGCTGTGTGACTTGGGGCAGGTCATTTAACCTTTCTGAGCATCTAGTTTGCACAACAAGGATGCAACTATTTCTTGCAAATTTATGGTAAGAAGTGGAGATGACATACATTTAAAAAAAAGCGCCTGACGTTACAGGCAAGAAGGGGCTGGAAAGAGGTATTCCAAGTCATGAAAACCAAAGACCTACAACCAAGATTGCTCTATCCAGCAAAGCTTTCATTTAGAATGGAAGGACAGATAAAGTGCTTCTCAGATAAGACCAAATTCAAGGAGTTCATCATCACCAAGCCCTTATTATATGAAATGTTAAAGGGACTTACCTAAGAAAGAGAAGATAAAAAGATGAACAGTGAAAGGACAGCAAACTCACAGTTATCAGCAACCACACCTAAAGTAAAAGCAAATTAAGAGGACAGCTAGATCAGGAGCAGAACCATAGAAATGAAGATCACGTGGAGGATCACAGGGGAGTGGGAGAAGGAGAAGGGGGGAGAAGGTACAGAAAATAAGTAGCATAGACAGTAGATAGAAAATAGATAGGGGGGAGGGTAAGAATAGTAGGGGAAATACAGAATCTAAAGAACTTGAGACACATGTTCATGAACTAAAGGGGGGGAATGGTGGAGGAGGGGTGTGCAGGATGGAGGGGAACGGGGGAGGGGGATAGAACAAATGTAATGGCATAATCAATTAAAAAAATGTTTAAAAAAAAAAGCGCCTGAGCCAGAGCCTGGCACATAGTGAATGCTTGATAAATAGATGGCTGATTTTCAATATGTCACCCCACTTCAAAGGTGGGTGTTTTGTTGTTTTTTTTTTAAGTCCAACACAAACAAACATCCCCCTGGAAGTTTTTGATCAGTTATGCTGTTTCTATATAATGATCATGAGTTAATCTTAAGGGCATGTGGTTTCAATAACCATAATGGCATGAAGTTTCGCTGCCTGCAGGAGCAAAAAGGAAGAGGTTGTTGGTATAATTCAATGTTTACCCGCATCTCACCAGGCAGTTTGCAGCTTTGCCTTCTCTCCCTCTGCCCGGCCTCCCCTCTCCTGCCAAGAGAAAGCCTGCTCGCCCCAAAAGCTGTTACACTGAAGAAGCAATAGATGCTGAAACCCTGAGGAGGTGGCACCTCTTTGGTGAGGTTAGGTCAAGTAGGCACCTTTGTCCCCCTTGGCCAGAGACCCAGGGGAAAAGGACTTCCTCTGTCTCCTTATCTTCATTGAATATGTCCTGAGAGAAATGGATTAAAATCTAGGGGAAATTCACTGTAAATGACTATCTCTTTTCAAATATTATATCTATTGTCACATAGTGTGTAGTGAGAGGACATTTATTTCCTTGCAGTTGGGCCTGATTTGCCTCTTTCACTTTATATAAGGATCTGGACCTGACATAGTAATTGGTAATAAGCAGCTACATATGTATTATGAGAACAAATCACTTAAGGCATGCTGGGAACTCTGTAAAATAAAAATAGCACTTAAATTCAAGCTACAGTACAATTACTGATGAACTCTTTCGTCACTGTTAAACTAGTGTCTCTGACTTGAAGCCGGGATGATATTGGAAATGTGAGAAATAACAAGCAGGAAAGGTGTTTCCTATACATACAGAGAATTTTTTTTCACACGGTTGTTGATGCCACATTGATCCAGCCATTTAAATATTATTATCCATGGTCTTGCTCATTAAATACTTAAGACAGGAGGAAAATCGTTGAAGGATACACATTTAGAATCCATATCCAGAGAGAGCTACATCCAAGCGGCAAAATGGTTACCCTGCTTGTAAATTCTGGATGGATGATAATTTAGAGTGCCCACGAAAGCCCTGAGTTTATTTGATTGCTCTCCTAATTACTGGGCTCTGTGCGATCAAATATTTGTGGAAGAGGAAGCTTTTCTTTGTGGGAGTGGATAATAACTGTGCTTACACTTTGAAATTTTTGCCTTGAGTTATTAAGATTTGCATTTCTCACTTTTGTTGGGAGGAAAGGTGTGTAGCCTGTTTTAGAAAGCAGGTACCAAATAATCAATCATCAAACACCCCAGAAAGTTTCCACTCTAGACAAGTGCAAAATCTTAGGTATTAGCAATCCACCCCCAGAGACAAACCTACAAAAGGTGGAAAAGGGGGAGAAAGGAGGTATCACTTTTCTAAGTGAATACATTGTGATTGGTAGGTGTTGCATGCATTAAGAAACTATATTTGCTTACTAGCTGCCATTTAGAAACCAGCCAGAAGTCTGAGATCGCACAGACAGGTAAGCCCCAAGCTCCCCTCCCAGGCTGCTCCAGTGCCCTGCTCCTCGGGGCGCGTGAAGAACAAACAGACTGTGGTCATTGATCCCCTGGTGGTGGTGTTGCACTCTGGGAAATGCTGGGGGTGCCCAGGGACGCGGCTCACTTAATAGATGCGCGCCTGAAAAAAAAAAAAAAAGCACCGAGAGGAGGAAAGAGAACATGCAAATCGGTGAAAAAAGGCTACAGAGGAGGAAGGGAACGGAGAGAGCGAGAAACGTGTTGCTCGTATTGTTTTAGACCCCTTCTCCATCGCCCTCCTCCAGACCCGCTGCCTCCCTCGCGACACCTCCCTCCTCGCCCCTTTCCAGACACCAGACACCGGTTCTGGGAAGATCAATCAGGACCCTCCCTCCCCCCCACCCAGGTTTGAGATTTAATTGGATACCCCCACCCCCCACCCCCCGGCAAACCGGCAGCTGTTTTAAGTCAATGAAAGTAAGACCGGCAGAGATAAGCGCCGGAGCAGCCCGGGAGCTGTCAGAGCACACTTAAATCAGTCCTCGGCTTCTGCTGGGGCATTACCCACGGAGTTTCCTCCGAGGCTGCTGAACTCGGGGTCTCCGCGCCGCCTTCCCGCGCCAACTCGGGCGGAGCGGAGGAGTCGTAGTCCGGCGCGGAGCCTTTTTCTCCCTAAATATCATTCCCTGGTTCTTGGCCATTGGGCTTTCGGCTTCACCCACTCAAAACAAAACCAGTTCGACCACCCCGGAGGCAGCGATGAGAGCGCCTTAAAACTTTTCTCCCTCCCCCCCCCACCAGGAGTAGGTGGGTGCAAAGTGCGGGCGGCGCGGACTCGCGGGCGCCGAGCCGGGCCGGGGGAGGCAGGGGTCGCTTTAAACCCGGACCTATCGCGGCTCCGGCCGCCGCGCTGGGCAGTCGCGGCTGCCTCCGAGAAGGTTCTGCGGGCATCTGCAAACCCCACGTGTGCCTTCGGGACGAGCTTTCCTGTGTGCAGCCGGGGTGGGGGCGAGAAGGGTCCCAGGTCACGGCCACAGGGCAGCGGGTGCGGTTCCAGCGCAGGGAAGAAGTTGACAAAGGGGACTTGGCTAAACGTGAACGCGTCTTTACCGACGCGAGCTCCATCGAGATCCAGAGAGAGCTCACTCTGCCTGCTCCTTCCGCCCATTCCTGCCATTTCATTTTATCGCTCCTTTAAGTGGAGGGCAGAATTATTTTTTAAAAAAAAACATTCCTGCATGGTGTGGGTAATCACCGCGTTATTTACAATCTAGTTACTCTGCAGCAGACCGGGAAGCAAACTCTGGGGCTCGTTCCTTTCGGATGGACAGAGAGGGCGGCCGGGAGGCGAGCCGCAGGGAGGAGGTCAGGGTGGGTTTGCGGGAGCTCGGGGGCGACCTGGAGGGAGCGCGAGCCCCCGGCGCCGCCCCCGCCCCCGCCCCCGCCGCCGCCGCCGCACCTCCCGGGGCCGGCGCCCGGCCGTGGTGACCGCCGGCTGGTGCGCTGCCCTCGCCTCTCCCCATTGTTCCTACTGTCTTTTTGCCTTTTGTTATTTGCACTCGCATTGTGTTGTTTGTCTCTGAAGCCGCCTCATGACCAGCAAAGGGATTTCACCTCGTCCTTGAGAGCTACACGGGGATCGCGAGCGAGCGAGAGACCGGGGAGAGGGACGCGCGCGCGCACACACTCACACACACTCACACACACAGACACACACACACACAGAGTGAGAAAGGCGAGCCACCAAACCCATCTCCACTCTCCTCCCGGGGGCCCCCAGCCTGCCACTGTGCCACTTTGCATCCCACGCCAGAGGAGACATTGAGGAGACCCGGTAAGGTGCGTGAATCGCAGCGTTTTAACTTTGTTGTTCGTCCCGATGTTGTGGGCAGACCTCCAAGGCGCAGAGCGCCCCTCTGCCGCTCGCCGTGCCCGCCACTCAGCACTCGTTCCCGGCTCCAGCTGGAGAGCCGGCTGGGGAGGGAGGGGGCCGCCACCGGAGTTTCCTCAAGTACCGAGGGAGGGGGGCTGGAACGGGGGCGCGGGGAGGCGGGGGGCGGCTCGAGACTGGAAGTGGCCCTGTCATCCTCGGGGGGCGCCTGTTCGGGGGTGAGGGAAACCCTGGGGTGTGCGCTCGAACCCAGACCAGGAAATGGGAAACTTTGTGTTTTTGGTGGGGAGCCTGCGTGCTGTCGCCGGTATTGTTTTCTAAGCGGTGACGGTGGAGGTGGTGATGAGCGCGGAGGGCAGGAGCGCAGGGAAAATCCTAGGCTAGACTGTGCACCTCCGTTAACGCCGAACGACAGACCCTAAAAGTTGGACAGAGCTCCTTCCCCTTCCTAGAATACACGCTCGACCCCCAGCCCACCCTACGACCTGAATGTTCCCCCTTTTCGTCTTTTTGTTTCGCTTTCTGCAATCCCTCTCCCACTACTCCCCCTCCCTCCCGCCCGGAATTTCGGAAACAAGTCCCATCCTTCAGGATTCTAGGGATTTCAGAGGCCGGAAGCTTTATTAATTGCAACTACTTACCCCCCCCCCCCCCCCCCCACTCTGCAAACGAAGTGGAGACCTCTCACGTGTTGTCACTTTAAGCGCGGGTTTGGGAAATCTCGCTTGCACTTTGGGGCTACAGTAATAAGCAAGGAAAAGAGGTTATACAAGTTGAAATCAAATTGGATTTGGAAATGTTTCCATTTGATAGCAGTTTCTTGCATGTTGATCTGCTGGCATCGGATGCACACGAAGCATTATTTACATATTTTAACAGTAATTTTCCTCACACACTTTGCAAAACGAAGACATTAATAAGTAGTTTGACCCTGGTGAATGTCGGAAGACGTTGGCCTCTGTGCGAAAATTCAGAGCGTGGTGAATGTGAATTCATTTCACTGTCTTTCCGTCTCAACTCAGCAGGTCAAAATGAGGAATTCTGTGAATATGCAGGGTGAGATTCTCAGTGTCAGCCAACGCAGGCACTCTGGGTGGCAGTCAACTGTAACTTCTTTAGAAAAGTTTAGGAATCTCTGCTATCCCAGTTGGATCCTCACAATATCCAGATATCCAAAGCAGTTTGCCAGAAAGGCATCAGGCGATTTCCCCAGAGGCTGCCTTCAGGCCCAGCATAGTCCTTAGTCAAGGGCAAGACCAAGGGAGATCTGTGGGATTTTGGGTAATAAGTGTGGGAATCTGCAAAGGGACTAGACAGAGTGATTTGTTTCCTTGATGCTCATAAATAAAGTCTCCTAGTACCCTTTAAAAAACACACACACACAAACAAAACAGGCCAATGCTGTAGGCCCGTAGGAGATTCACAGGGAATGGACATTTCAATCAGAAAAACCAGAGCACAGTTTTTGATCAGGATTACAGGAGTCAGGCTCGATTGCCAAGAGTTATTAGGTTAAGGACCAGATGGTTTTAAAGTATACGGAAATGTTTTTTAAGTTTGACTTTTACAGAATCTAAAAGGACAGCAGTTTCTTAGGGTCTTTACAGAACTGCTGCATTTCGATCTAGTTTTGAGGGAACTCAGCTGTATCGTGAACTGCTGTTCACTGTGACAGGGAAGGGATCTGGTTTCATGGGCTACATGGGACACAGTTCCTGAGGGTGCTCCTTCCTGATTTAAATATAGCTTCGAGGCTGAAGCCTAGATAAATTCAGCCACGATGATTTAAAATCATAAGCACTTACACTGAAAGTTCTGTCAGGCATTGTGCAAAGTTCTGCTGCTAATTATGTCATTAACTGTTTACTCCTTAGAACTACGTGAGATAAAAATCATAAGCATCGCTCCAAACTGATGCAATGCAGCCTGAACCCCTTACACTGGGAGGGATCACTTTTATTTGCCTAAAAGGTAGATCTTTCATCAGATGAGTTGTTTAAAAACATTCACTTGTGGGGGTGGGAAAGGATGCGCATAATTATTTAGTTATTTGTGTTAATTATATACCAGCATACTTGCTTGAAATTCTTTCTTTTTTTTCCTTTTCTTTCCAGTGGTCTTCTAACAACCTTATACATGGAGAATTGACAGAGTGTTTTTTTTTTTATTCGCTTGTGGGTTTTAAAAAAATCTTTTTGTAGCCATTTCAAATGGGCAAGAATGAACCAATCCGATGTAGACTTGAAAGAGTAAACACTTGATATATGAAAAAAAGAGCCTCAACTCTGTACAGAAACCCTGTACTAGTTTCGTTGTTGAGCTTAAACAGTTCTGGTTGAATGGCATGTTACACACAGGATTCAACACTCTCAGAGGTATTTGGTAAATAACCAGGCATTGGAGATCCAGTGGTTATTTCAAGTTAACTTAGGCCTGCACATGTCAATGCACATCCTGTTTAGACTGACACATGGTTTAGTGAAAGGAAAAAAATGGAATATGTGCCCATAAAGATGTTATCTATGGAGTACATGGAAGTCAAGAGTAAAGAATAAAAAAAGTGACTTTTATATTCAGGTGTCATGGCTTCCTTATTTGCCCTTGTTAGGGGTGCAGCATGAGCTATAGGAGAGGTTAAATTTTCATTCTCCAGCTAAAAGAATGAACTTGAAAGTTTGGACAATTTTTTTCTTATAAAGCAAATGAAAAAGTGTGGCACAGGGATGAAAAGAATGGACTGTCTTCTTGAAACAGCTCTATGCTTTTACTGAGTGGTAGGCAGGCATTAGGGCAGTATAAAACTTGTCTTTAATAATCTAAAATACACCAGATTTCAAATAATTTAGAGTTCCAATGTTGAACACTTTAGATTTTTAGAGGGAAGACTGTTGGGTATGCCTGCTCTGCATCACCTGGGCGAATTGCCCCACGGTGGAGAATGGTATAATCTGAGTTTTGAGAGTGACCTGGAAAACTTATTGGCCTGGGCCTGAAGTCAGTGCACTCCTATACACACTCGTTACAGTGTTTTAGCCTGCAAAATGTGGATTTATTTTAAAGGTGAAAAAAAAGTGCTTGGCTGTTTGATATAAACTATATCCTGAACTTAGATTTGTAGATAGTTAAATAAAATAAAAGTCCAATTTTGTTGCAAACAGTGTTTTAAAACACCCATTTGTAAGTTGTCCACATTTGGTTTTCATATGTTAATGATCTGGGATCTGAAACTTCTTTCAGAAAGACATTTTGGTTTATCTTTAAAAACACTACACAAAACTGTCTAAACAACTCTGTAAATAAGTGGTTCCAAATGCCTCAATTTGATGAATGAATTAAAGAATTATAGTTCTTAATCCAATTATGATCAGTCTAGTCTTGTTATTACAATTCCCCTTGGGGGAGTGTGGGGAGTGGGAATGGTAAATGATTCTCAAATGTGAGTGGGGTCTTTGCTGTTTTTCTTCTGTGTGTGATGTAGCAGAAATAATTACTCACGCCTAACATTTAGGAGAAGGGTTGTAGAGGTAGATAGTTATTTAGTGATCTCCATTAAACCAAGAGTTTATTTGCATGAAAAGTTGTTCTTCATAAAAGAGTAAGATGAAAATTTTAAGACTATGAAGCCAGGGTCTAATATTTTGCCTAAAAATACTGGATTTTTCTATTTAAAGGGGAAGGAGTGGAGCACTTGGGGCTCAGGAGTAGGGCACTCAGTCACTTTCAGGCACTTCCCATTGGGCCATATGGGGGCATTGGGTGGTATATTTGATAAGCTATACTGTATTCAATCTCCTTGTCCTTAAAATTAATGGGGACTATGCTTTTGGGGTTGTTTTCTACACACCTCTCCCCAGGTAGCTGCCTACCTGGGTGCTTTTGAATGCCCTTCTGACCACTGGCCTGAATTTTAGGATGGGCCCTTGCTAACTGCCCAGTTTGCTGGAATGGACCTTTCTAAATTTCTGCCCCATTTTAACCTCTGGCTCAGACATTAATTAATTCAAAGATGTCAATAGTTTATTATGGTTTAATTCTCTAGGTGTTATTATTATTATTAGTTTTGCAGTTTATTATGACCATCTAATTACTTAGGAAAGATCGGTGGGGATTACAAGTATCAAGTGAAGCTGCCAAGAAGAAATATTTATAGACATAGGAATTTTTTTTTTAGTACCACTCAAATCATACCTGATAGGCAAGTAATTACCCTGCTTACAGGTGAGAATGTCATTCAGTAGGGGCATGTTGATGAAGCTGGAGGAAAAAATGAGTGTGTTTGAAGAGTGCATTGAATAACCTCCCTTTAAAAACTGAGCCTTAAAATGTAAAATACTGCCCCCCAAAAAAGGTGGTTTTGGGAGTGGTTGTGGTGGTGTTATTGATTTCTACAGGTATAGGTCCATTCGTTCTTTATTAAAGTTTATTGGAAGTTACAAAAATTCACCTTCGCTACCCAGTTACTCCTCACTCAATGGCTCTTCATGATTGTGTGGGATCTCATGTCCGACAGTATGGTAGGGCTCTGGTTTGACCTCTAGTTGACGTTCCCTGGAAGCTCGGGTATTGAATTGTCACTAATGCACCAATTAAGTCTTGGAGGCAGGGAATTCAGGAAAGAACCAGGATGTGGAAGAGTTGATCCCACTAGTTTTTGGAGCATTTCAGTTTAGGTCTATTTGAAATTCTTCCATGACTTGGAGTCCTGAACATTCAGCGCTCTGCCCCTTTTACCTCTAAAGCTGGGGATAATAGTGCTTTTCTTAGAGGGACATACAGGAGTGACTCTGGGTACATGTCAAATTCCAGGAATAGGGTCTGGCATGAACTAGGTACTCAGTAAGTGACAGTTGTACTCTCCTCTTTCTCCAATCAAGTTTTTATGATCATTAATAATGTTTTAAGCTTCATTTTGTACTTACTTTGAACTCATTTGAGTCCAAGGAGAAAA